TTGACTCTTCCAGATGTAGCAGGGGAGCTGCATGAGGACCTTAACTGGGAGGAAGTTGGGGAGTGAGGAGGCCAGAGGCACAGACATGTTTCAGCCCTTTCCTAGTGTCTGCACCTCTGGCTGTCATAAAGGGGACAGGTGCCTTTATGTAGACCTCCCAGAGTTAGATGCAAAGCTACCAGGGGCCCTGAGAAGCTCTGCATATTCTTGTTGGGTACACCAAAACACAAGGCCCTGCCCTTCTCAGGATTATGTTTGTGTAACATGTGAGCAATCCTGAGTGATCAAGCTAGCATCTCTTACAGACAAAAACCCAACGTGTTTTATAACTTACTGAAAGAGCAGTGAATCCTCTAGGCACAGGGCTCCCCTCCTTGAATGGCAGCCCATTGATTATATGTCAGCATATATCATAGGCCCTTTATGCCTCCAGGAACTTGGCAGCCTGGGAGGCTGCACAAGTCTAAGAGGAAGCTACCTACCTACTGTTCCTGCCATAAATGATGACCACTTTGGCCCTGAACCAGGGGACTTACATCTTTTGTTAACATCCATGAAGCAGCAACAGGGTAACTTACTAGTTTGCAAGTAGAGTAAAAATTCATATTCTACACATAATGGAATGCGATATCAGTGATTTGGGATATTTATTTATTCCTAGTGCCCAAAATACTACTTTAAAGGCATCTAACAAATTTTGGTGCATTTTCATTTTCATTCAGTCCAAGATGTTTTCTGTTTTTCCTTTTCTTCTTTGATGATGGCTTATATTAAAATGTTTTATTTAGAGTCTGAACATTTTAGGATTTTCCAGAGATTTTTTTTGCTACTCAGTTCCAATTTAATTCCACTATATTCAGAGAACATTCTTTGTATGACTTGAAATCTTTTATTTATTTATTTATTTATTTATTTTATTATTTTTTTGGTCTTTTTGAGACAGGGTCTCCCTGTAGCCCCAGCTGACCTAGAACTCACTAGGTAGACCAGGTTGGCCTCGAACTCATAGAGAGCCACCTGCCTCTGCCTCCTGAGTGCTGGGATTAAAGGTGTGAGCCACCACGCTTGGCCTTCATTTATTTAATTTATTTTCATGAGTATGAGTTTTTGTCCACATGTATGTAAATGCACCCATTTGTGCCATGCCTGCAGAGGTCAAAGAGGGCGTTGGAGCCTTTGGAAGTGGAGTTACTTTACCAACAGGTGTTAGCCACCATGTGGTGCTGGGAACCAAACACAGGTCCTTTCCAATACAGCCAGTGCTCTTAACTGGTAAGATACCTTTCCAGCCTAACTTGAATTTTCTGTTTGTTATTTTTTATTTGCTTTTGAGACAGGTTCTGGAATTTGAGTTGTCCTGGAATTTGATATGTAGACCAGGCTGGCCTCAAACTTGGGCAGTGATACTCCTGGCTCTGCTTCCTGAGTGCTGAGATTACAACTATAAGTCACCACACCAGGCTTAAATTTAATGCAACTCCGTCTTGTAAAGAATGTGAATCTGCTGTTGTTAGGTCGGGGGGGGGCATACAAATGCCAGTTAGGTCAAACTGGTCAATAATGCTGAAGTTTCTAAATCTTTATGATTTTCTGAAGACTATATTTTTAAATAAAAATGCATGTCTACAACTAAGCTTAATCATTGTTGTATTTTTGATATTTTTCTTTCTCTGGCTGCATGTGTGAGTACTTGCATACACTGTATACACACCATACACACCACACACACACACGCATGCACGTGTGCACACACACACACACACACACACACACACACACACACACACACACACACCATTTCAAGAGCCCTCAGAACTGAAACAAAATGAAACATCTAATTGTGATATCGCTTCTTTGAAAAAATGAGTTATTTTCCCTGGCTGACCTTGTGAACTATTCCACTGTGCAATTATTTTGAATCATGGTGCTTTTTATTATCTTATTCCTTATGTCAAGTCATGCTTCCCACTGCAAACAAGACCACAGCAAATCTTTAGTAGAATGACAGAGATATTGGTGTTTCTACTTTAATGCTGTTCACAGGTGTTTTCTGTCTTAATAGGATATATAAATTGTTTAATAAATCTTGCATTATGAAAAACTATGTACAAAAATTATGGGTTGGAAGAAAATACTAACATTCAAAATATATTTAACTTTGTAGCAAGTACTAATAAAATAGTGATCATCCCAATTAAACACTTCAAAACTTGTTTTTGTGATACCTGGGATTGAACCTAGGACCTTGCTCATGTTAGACCAGTGCTCTACCACTGAGCCATATCCCCAGTCCTTACTTATTCCAATTAAAGCACTAGTACTCAGTAAATATTCACTACAATTTTTATCTAAAATCACAGCTGATTTTCATGCCTTAAATCTCAATATGTGTGCCCTATGGCATTTGTCCTCAATAGAGAACATTGTCATCAAAAAAATAAAATGGGCTGTGGACATGGTGTTTCTTCAACCATCTGTTGAAATTTTTGTTTTTAACATAGGTGTCTCTGCTGTGTCCTCTGCTCCTTCAGCCTCATGGATAGGAATGACACCTCCCAAATGCTGGGATTACAGACATGCATTACCACACCTAGTTATACGTGGTGCTGGTTATCAGACCTAGGGCTTCGTGCATGCTGGGCAAGCACTCTACCAATTGAGCTACCTCCCCAGCCCAAGACTTCCTTTTATTTAATTGACAAAGCTTGCCCCCAAATGCTTTCAACTACTGGTTTGCTGGGGGGGGGTGGCTGGTAATTACATGTGAAACAATGTAATAATAATTTTATAATCTGCCAGCCAGATATTAGCTTGCACTATAGAAATTTGTTATAGCCTCAAAGACTGTGCTTTGCAGTTCTCTAACCCTGATATACATGATTATCCTAGTCATTTTCTTGGTAGCCATCACCACTGGGATTTAAACATCCTTCCTTCTAAGATCACCCAACACATTTACTGAGCACCTATTATGTGTCAGACTGTTCTAAATGCTGGAGGCATGACAGACAAGGTCCTTATGATCACAGACTTTGCATTGTGGTAGAGGATTCTGGCAAGAATAGTAAATTCAATGAATATGGCAATATCTGATGGTTATAATTACCATGAAGAGAATAAAATAGGGTGATGGCATATGGAATGAGACAGAGATTAGTAGCCACTGGGTAGCAAGGGCACTCTGGATAGGATGGCCGGAACAGGCTTCTCTGGAGTGGTGACATTGGAGCCAGGACCCATAAGATAGTGTTGGGGACCCCTGCTGTCTAAGGTAGCAGTCTCTCCATGTCCGGATAGCCGCAGGCCAGCTGGCGGCAACTGGAGAGACTCCCTTTCTCAGCGGGGCACCTTCCTGCTCTCTTCCTGACTCACCTTTTGAAGTGCCTGTCACAGATACATATCCTCCGGCATGAAACTGCCAGGTTTTCCTGTGTGATAATCAGGCACTGTCTGACAGCCTGGCAGAAGCCCACCACCACATGTAAATGGGGCATTCTACAAAGCACCTATCAACTAAGGCTTTTGCCACTGCCTCCACACTATAAATATCCTGGTTTCCCCCTAATAAATTGGAGTTGTATCTGGAGCTGTATCAGGAGCTGAGCTGTATCACTTGTCTGAAGCTGTATCATTGAATCCTGCATCTCACTGTACCCGGAACCAGCCTGTGATACAATCTCCCCGGAGGGGGCTGTCCCTTGTAAACATTCACTAGCGAAGATCTTGCTTTCGCCATTCCTGCACCTCCCCTCGTGATCCGGTGGCCGACGGATCACGAAACATAGAGGGAGTGCCCAGTAGCTTGGAACTGAACTCGCCTGGAAGCCCAGCGACCAGTAGAGTCGCCAGCATCCAGTAGTCGCGGAGAGGCAAGGATCTGAACAGCAACGCGGTGCGCTGGACCCGCCCCAGCGGTGCACGAGAGACAGGTGCACGAGCCCATAGATAGAAAGGAACTGGTCATAGGAAGATCTGGGGGAGACTGTCCCACAAAAGGAACAGTAAGAGTCCAGAAAGTACAGAGTCCTCAAGATGGAAGTAACTTAGTAAGCTTACACAAAATGAAAAGTGACTGGAGGGCCGCCTTGGGGGAATACTTAGGTTGAGTGCCACATGTCACTGCCATGCTGAGGTTGATCCAGCTGACCGGGTCATTTCTGCTCTATGATCAAAGCCTAAAATAGCAGGTGGTACCCCCATATGCTTAACAGACAAATTCACCTGACTGAGCCTGGGGTGAATGTCAAATTCACAGACAGTAGAGCGAGCACAACCACTCAGTCTTACAAGGCATAAGGCTGTATGGGGCCACGCGGTGACTGAACTCAGATTGTGGGCTCCAGCCAGGATTTAGCTGTGAGGGTTGGAGCAGGTCTTCTCAGGAGGCAGCCCACAACAGTGTTGGGAGGGGCAGCAATAAGGGTATAGTGTTGGGGCCAAGTAATGGGGTGTACCCAAGGGAAGGGTTGGAAAGTAGCAAAGGCAAGATTCAAGTCCCTTCAGAAAAATAGCTATTTCCTTCTTTTGCCATCTCTGGTACCATGGATACTTATGCTGATGTGCCAGTGACTTCCTGGTCCACTAGAATCATCTAGCAGGACCATCAGGCAGTAAGAATGTGTTTTGTTTGTGGAAACTCTAACACACCCAGACTGACTCCATGTGCTCCCCACACACTTCTATACTGTTTTGGATGTTTAGTCTTTGTTCTTACTTCATCTCAGAAAGACAAGCCCTTGTCTATAGGGAAGCTTTTCATTCCCTTCCTCAGATACCCAGGCAGAGTTATCACACAGTGGTCTAGATCTTACTTGTCTCTGAGGAACTGTACTGCAAGTCCAGGGCTGTTTCCAAGGGATCCTTTTGCATGGCACAATACCAAGTGGGAGACAAGCTCTGAAGATGCCCGTTAACTGCTTCTACTGGTGCCAAGATGATAGTAACACTCTGGCTTTCACAATTCTGGCTACAGGGGATGGGAAACTGGGCAGGAGGCTTACCTGTTCTTCCTGCAGCGGATTGTGAAAGCAAGAAAGAAAAGCACCAGAAGTAGTCCGCAGCTAAGAAAAGTCCAAACAACACCCAAGAGGGCAGGAGACAATGAAGAGATGGCTGTACTGCTGTCCTGGGAAGAGGTCTGGGACAGAAAAAAGAGAAGCTGTTAGGAACGAAAGATCCATAGATGGCACCAAAGCAGGCAAAGCCTGTCCTGCATGGCAGTTCTTCCACCACTCCCATCACTATCACCAGCACACTACCACCACCACCACCACCACCACTACCGCCACTACTGCCACCACTGCCACCACAGCCACCGCCACCTAAGGTGCTTGTGCTGATGCCCCACAGCTACTCACAATGGTTGTCTTGCAGAGATCATGAAGGGGTCTCCGATCCAGTTCCTGGCCAGGAAAACTGTCACAAAATTCAGAGCAGTTGATTTCAGGCTCCATGTCATCACATGTCCTCTTGATGGGCACTTATTCAGGCTTGGATGCTTGCTGGTAAGGAAGCAGACCTTCCACTAAAACTCAGCAGCAACTCAAATCTCTTCAAGGGTCCCATCTCTGAGCTGGCTCATGACTCAGAATCAGGGATAAAAACCTTATTCAGGTGAAAGTGAAGAGCTATTGTATTAGGCTCCTTCATCAGACAGGCTCCAATACCAGACATCCTTTAGAAGGTCCCTTAAGGCCAGCGAATATCACGTGATTGAGTGGCCTTCTCAGGTCATACAAAGTGATGATTCTGGTTCACCACCAGAGGGCAGTCACAGTTCCAAGTGCTCTCACACTGGGCCCTGAAAGAAGGAAAGCAATTAGACCTGCTAACAATTAAAACACTCTCTCTCTCTCTCTCTCTCTCTCTCTCTCTCTCTCTCTCTCTCTTTTGATATTGAGACATGAGATTTCCATCTATAAATTTCATGTTCAAGAACAGGAACAGTTGAGTTACAAAAAAAAGTTGCAAAAAGAATCTCATGTTTTAGGTAAGTTTACAATTTTGTGTTGGGCCACATTCATAGCTATCCATGGCCACATGTAGTCCACAGGTCACAGGTCGGACATGCCTGAGTCTTACCCCTAATTCTTTAAATCAATTTTTCCTTTAATAAAATGGATTTGAAATTTAATCAAAGAAATTTAAGAGGATGCCATTTCTGTGGCATAATATTCTTTCCTTACAGAGGAAATTTAGATAAAAAATATTAATTACTATTATTCAATAGTCACTGAACACTGGACTCAGAACAATAGTGACAGGTGTAGAATGTCATCTTTGGATTCTGTGTGCTTAGGCATGAACAATACAGCACCAGGTGCTATCCAGTCACTGGCCTCTAATGTGTTCCTGAATTATTTACCAGGTTCATGACAATGCAATTCTGAGAAAACATCTAAATTCTTGTGCAGTCTGTTCAGATCACTGAATAAAGAATTATGTGGCAAACATCAAAGAGTGGCCAACTGCATTCTAATCTTGTTGGAATTCCAATTCTGAAAAGGCTCTTCCTTCCTTCCTTCCTTCCTTCCTTCCTTCCTTCCTCCCTCCCTCCCTCTCTCCCTCCTTCCTTCTTTCCTTTCCTTTCTTTCTTTCTTCCTGCCTTCCTTCCTTCCTCCCTCCCTCCCTCCCTCCTCCCTTTTCCTTCCTTTCCCCCATTTTTTGAGAGGACTTTCCCTTTTTAGGGACTTTTTGTTTTTTTATTTGTTTCATACACTTGCATATTGAAACACATTTTGCCACGGCTGCTTTAAAATATCTGACAGATAATTCTAACATTTCAATAATCTTGTCTTGACATCTGTTGATTTTTCTCTTGATTCTG